TTTCGGTGGTCTACCCTGATTCATTCCCAATAAGGTTACAGTGCTTATCGGAGCGCCAGGTGGAGGCGTCCCTACGTGCAAGCCTTTTGGCGCCGCGCCAGCCTATTTTTATCAATGTCTGCCCGCCCATGGTGGCACTGAATGGTGGAAAGCGCCGCGCTAAAACTTATTTACGCAGTAAGGCCTCCACCTAACGCTCTGTAATAAGGCACTTCCTGTCACTGGGGAAACATTCTGCAAAATCCCACCCACCCCTCAGAAGAAAGTTATTCGTCTCCCAGTGCGACCGCCTTTTCTTCCTACCTACCATGTTTTCGTATTTTTTCAACTTCACCAGTTTTCCGCAAAATGCTCCTGTTTCTCCAGTTCCTCTCTATTCTCCTCCTAGAGAAAAACCGGCCGTCGAAGGAGGGGGGGGGGGGGTAGTTTTCACTGAGATTTAAAAACGTATGTATCGCACATGAAACGGGAAAGACCCAAAAAAGTCAGCAAGCGAAAACGTTCTTTTTGGGGGCCAAAACGACTCCTTACTCCAGAGCCCAGATACGACCCTCTCCCTCGTCGGGGATCCCCAAGCCTACGACGTTCCCTATCCTTCGGACCTAGACACTGTGCATACAGCTAAAAACAGTGCTAGAGGGCTATGTTTGATCCTAAAGGCACTAAGAATTGGACAGGTACGTAGAACCCCTGAGGGTCCAAAGTCTCCACAAAAGGATTCAAAACGAAGCACCCTTTACGCACCCATGCCGTGGAGGAAACGAACTTAAAGATTGAAAATTCGTAGTTCTCATTCATTTTCATTTTCGTTTCGTTTTTTTATTTTTTCATTTTCGTAGATTCAGAAACGGAAATAAGGGGGATTCTAAAGGGGTCTATGGAATAAAATGCGCGTAAATTCTGTACGCGGTGTAAAGGGGCGTGGCAATCTGGGGCGGCGGGGGCTTCGCATGAGAATTACTGAGTAAAGGAGTAGTGCGGATGGTACCGAGCGCAAGGATGCAAAAATCGTAAAAACGGGTGGGTAAGGCGAAACAATTGGGTGGGTGGGAAAAGATTCGGGCGGGTGGAGCGACGAGCGAAGATGGGAACTAATTCTTTGTAATCTGGTCCTGGTATTTTCAAATGATTAAAAAAATCGATCGAAAGGAAGAACTTTCTCGAAATAAACGTACGTATAGAAGTGCTGGATTTCCCAGAGGTGTTTCCTAAAATCATAATGGATTTTAATGGTTATGTATAGCGTTTATTTTATAATAGTAAATAAAATTATTACTTATAGCAGATGTTGCTCCCACTGGAAGTCTTCGGAGTGCACATCATAAAGACAGATGTTCTCCCAAAATAATTTTTTGAATATAATTTTTAGGTGCTGTTTTATTTGGGAGGGGCTTTTGCATATTCGCTAATTCCTTTCGACAGTTGCTGTTGAATTACATGTCTTATCCTTGGCCGGACCTGTAGAAACTTGTCAAATGTAAACGAAGCTCATCGCATTGCATAGCTCCACTGGAAATCAGGAGACCTCTACAGCAGCTACAGCAGGCATCGGAAGTGATCGGTGGGAACCAGAAAGATGCCCCTCCCAAACCGAACAGTGCCCAAATTCCTTATAGTTTTGATGTTTTCGTTGATTT